TGTACACGTATCTTGATCATTTATAAAGCCACTGTGATCTATAAATCAAGAAAATCCATTGTCATGACCATTTTTAAAAGTCAAAAATTAAGACATCCTTAATTTAAAAGTTTCAAATCTAGACATTGTGTGTGAATGTACAAAGAAAAAGCATTTCTAACGCTGTTATATACTAGAGAAATTTTGTTTTGCTTGCTGTTTTAACTTGACGGGTGAAAGACTTTAGTTGAACTTCATACTGTAAGAACTGTTAATAAAAGTTATCAAGTAAAAAGCCCTATATCTAAAAAGACTTTATGAACAGTTATTCTATCAACTCTTGGAGGTTTTAAACCTGTCCAGAAATTACCTTGGTATCTGAAATTTCCCTCTGTCTCCTCCTCTTAAGCTTGTTACTTGTTATGCACCAGCATTGGAGATAATAAAATTTCTTGTTCTGTGTATTTTGTTTGGCTAATTGTATTGTATACATACTTTCTCTGTATACTACTTTTTATTGTATGTATTATTGCAACCACTTGATTTAAACTTAATCAGTATTAAGCGAAAATGATCTAGCTTAAGATATCTAATTGACAAATTCATTTCTGGAAATTAAACTTTGTAAATTAAGTTTTTACCTATAAGAATTTGCTGGTCTAGGAAAACCTGCCCTATCAATGAGTATGTTGCTGTGGTTACCTTACTAAGATGCTGAAGTTTTAGGAGAGTAATTACATCAGAAGGCTATGCTTAGCAAAATGAGTTTATCAGCAGGTTTTATGATCAGTAAAAAGCTTCCAGATGCTTCTGCTTTATTGTAGCAGAAAGAACGTATATCCAATGCAACAGGACAACTCAGAGCCTAATTTATTTTACAGTCATCTATCTTTTGGGGAGAGAGATATGTTAAAAGATAGGACTGTGACAAAGATGATCAAAATTGCTCAGACACTAGCTAAGTTGGGAGGGAGAGATCGTGGAAGTAAAATGTTGATGCTTAAACTTCTTAATCCTACTATCTCTTCCACTGCTTTCTCAGCCTGTAGCAGCAGTCAGATGAGTGTAGCCAGATAATTAATTGCATGCATGATGTAAATTAGCGTGGGTGGGGGTATGCTAGTGCACAATAAACTGGCTGGTTGTATTTACCTCCAGATCTTTATCTTTACCAGCAAAATTTACCTTTACTGGGAAAGATAAACCCTTGAAAAAAAATCTGAGGTCTACTAACTAGAAGGTTGTGATTCTGTTTGTCTCTGGGACTGAGTAGGGCGCAAGAGGTGGGGTAGGAAACACTCCGTGTTGCATCCGAAGGCTAATCTTTGGAAGAAAAACCTGGGCTCTGCAATTGACTCGGTTGTTTTTCTCTCTCAAAAATAGATAGCTGAGAGACAATGAAAATTGTAAATACTTATTTGTATTTATTGAGAATAGAAAACGAACATTTTAACACCCCTTTTAGGGGTATAAAATCATTTGTATTTCTTTTACATGCAGTTGCCACAGACAAACCAGACTACTTTAAAATTTGGGTTCTACTATATATTTAGCTCAGTAACTGGGAAATTAATCTCTGTGGCTCAGATCCTAAAATGAAATAGAGGCAATTGGATGTATCTTACAAATTGTGAGGACTAAATGGAGAGAGAGAGTGTGTGTGTGTGTCAGTCATTTAAGGGAAGTAGAGACAGGAGTTCTGCGGAAATTCTAGCTGGTTTTGCAAGATAGGAATTTAAAGAAGCTTTTGAGTACGCAGTGTGATTAGGGAGAGTTTTCCAGATTTATCCCTATGTATTACAAATGTTCAGTTAAATTAGATATCCCATGTTGAATATCTATTCAGGCCACCCATCTATTTTGTTTGGTTCATGCTTAAAATTTTAAGAGACCACCATCTCAGTACAGAGATACCACCTAAAAATCTAGATTTTTACCATTTTATTTTGAGATGGAGTCTTGCTTTGTTGCCCAGGCTGGAGTGCAGTGGCTCAGTCTCAGCTTATTGCAACCTCCACCTCCCAAGTTCAAGCAGTTCTCTTGCTCAGCCTCCCGCATAGCTGGGATTACAGGCATGAGCCACCACACCTGGCCTCTTACTTGTTTTTAAAGTAAAACATCTGGGAGCCTTTGACCACCAGACCTACATAGCAAAAAAAAAAAAAATCTGATTCACCTTTAGACAAGGAAGGGACTGTTTGCCAAGTCCCCTGGTGTTGTCTTCCCAACACAGAGGCCAGGTAGCATTTTGACATCTATCCTTGGGCCTGCAGCATTTTCTTTTTTTGTGCGTGCACGGTTTGCATTACCTACCTGGCTTCTAAATATTTGAACTTGTCTCTCCTTATAGATTCTAAAAGATGTCTCAATTTTCTGCCTGTTTTACCTTAACTCTATTACCCTTCTGAATTCAGTACCTGTTAGAGTTATAGAAATGAGTAAAGAACTAATGGGAGTTTGAGCTGCTGAGACTCTGATATTTTTGCTTGAGACCCCAAAATACTGTATTAAAGTATGTCAGTAAAGTATGTCGCTTGAATTTTAAAACAAGGAAATAAAACCCTTGCAAAATTGTATTTTCCCATCCTGAAATACGGTAATATTTTTAAATTGCAAGCATTGCATGTTTAATATTTTCTACCTCTGGAGGTTTATAAATATTTTCTGGGAGTGAATGGTTATATTCTTGATGTTCTTAGTGACCAAAGATGAGTGTGAACTATCTGATCCATAAATGCTGTCATCTATGAATATATCCATAGACTTGAACCTGTTTGTTTTCAGTCCAAAGTATATCTTAGAAGTTAAGTGGGGGTGGGGAAGGCATTAGTATTTCTTTGTATTTATTTTAGAACTTCCAGGGGTAGCGTTAAGGATTTAATTAATCCTTTTCTTGTGCTGTATCCACAAGGTCTCTCATCTTTGCTGCCTTCATTTCTTAAACATTTTAGTTGCCTTTCTCATGGGACATAAAGCTTCTTGAGTTGAGGCCTCTACAGTGGCACATCTTTCCCCCATGCTCCCCTGCTATTTCTCCTAGGCCTGCAGAAAAGGTCAAAATAGTTATTAAAAATCACCCCTTAGATCTGAGATAAATGAGATCTTAACTTTGGTCCCTATTCCGGCAGTGGGCTGAATACAACCCCATTCCATGCCACCAGTGCAGAAAAGATACGGATTATTCTCAAAGGCACATCATAGTACTATTGCTATTGGTAATGAAAACCGCCCGTTATCCTCACCTCTGTTTTGCCTGAAAGATTATGGGTGGGTAGTAATACTTAGCCTTAAAGAAGGGATACTGAAGGGGAAAGAGGCTGAGAGTAAACTCTGCTCCACCACTTCCACCACAATTCCGTTCTTCATAAATTCCTCATTCATTTCTGGTACCCCACAGGATCATTTAAAAAAATGATGATTAGATTCTGCCCAAAAGGCTGTCATTCTGATGGCTTTGGCTTTTCCTACTCAATTCCTCCCTTATAAAATTCTGAGATAATTCAAGGGCTCCTCTACTTAGTTAGATCGCATAATTAAAAGCATTGAGCTTTCATGTACTGTCCATGTGAATGAAAACTAAGAATAAATTTTGCATCTACATAAGTCTTTAAGTCAAAAATGTCAGAATGACTGAATGAATGTTTCACCACCCACATGTGTTGCATCTTCCAAGTGCAGCCCAAAATGTTATGCTCTCATTATACTAATGGTATCACCACTCTTGGAAGATCAATCAGGACCCAACTGGATGAGAATTTATTTGTAACTGTTTCATATTAAGTATTTTCCTTTAAGGTGTTATATACTGCTGCATAAACAGTATATTTTATTGTTTTTTAATTTAGAAAAAAAAGCAGCCCTCAAAACCTGTTATGTTACTGATAATTTTATAATCTTACAATATTTTCCTATTAAGTACTGAGTATATGAAAAATTCTCAGAATATTTGAGTAAATAATAATAGGTATCATGTGACTGGCACATGCTATATAATTTACATCTATTATCTAATTTAATCTTCTGAAAAGCCCTATGAGATACTTACTGTTAAATCCAGCATCTCAGACCTTATAAATAAGTACCATAATCCTCATTTTGCTGAAGAGATAAACTGAAGCCAAGTGGTAGGGTCATTTGTTAGTAAGTGGCAAAGCCAGCATTTCAACCTATATGTAACCTTAAATCTTTTTAGCATCTTATTGCCAAGTACACATTAAACTTTGATCAACAGCACTCCATACAGTAAAACCTTACATGTAAAGAAACTTGAATCACAACATATTAGACAGAGAAAAATTAGATGCTAACATACATATATAACCTGATAGAAGGCATTTAGTCTAAAAAACTAAAAGCAAGCCAAACAAAATGTTCTGATTTAGGTACATATTTAGCCCAGTGCCTATGTATCTCCTACATTTGCTTCAGCAACACTGTTGTGTGAGAAATGAGGTTCACAATGAAAAATTAGGCACACCACAGTATCATAAATTAATAAGGAAGAAAATATTATCTTTTATATAATAACATTTTAGAAAGCTGCTCAGCCACAAGAATTGGAAGAAAACATATTCTGCTTAAATTTCAGTTTACTAGAACATTAACCCCAACATCACCTTTCCCCTTGGTCCCTCATCTGCACCCTAGCCCAACACACAGCCTGTTAGTTGTGATACTGGGATTAATTGCTTTCCATTAGGGGAGGGTTGGTGGAGATATCAATGACCAATTCAAGGATGTGAGTTGCTAAATGACATTTTCTATGTTCTTTGCACCTTAGTTCTTCATTCAAAGCCAGTTAGGTAGGCGTACGTATGTAGGTGGTTACGTGCCCCAGTGATGGGTTAGTAATGCTGCTGTTCTAATGATTGTTATGCATAAATCTTTGGCAGATTTTTTTCACTTGTGCTCTATTAAATTGTAGGCATACTCTGTATTTAACTTTGTTCTCCTTATTATACCCAGGCTTCTCTGGAAAAATAGATGATACATTAAACTATAAATGAGATTCGTGATCTTACCTGTTGGTTGTCAAGATTCATCAGTGTGAGACTGCATGTTGAGATGGTCAGTTTTATATTCATTCCTGAAAACTGAAGATTACTTTTGCCAAGAACCGTTGATAGGAACTTAACTGGAGGCTTTAAAAATTAAAAAAAAAACAAAAACAAAAACAAAACCACTGTTAGGAAGTTTGTTACAGAATGAAATGTTACAGAATGAATGTTTTTTAAATGTTAAAAATGAGTCAAAGTCCAAACTCTTCCACTCTATTTTACTTTACATAAATCAAATAAAAAGGAATGTTTTTTTAAATTAAATTTTTAAATAATTAGAATGCAGCAAATTCTTTATTAAGTAGTGAAATTTAGGCCCTCAGAACTTTCTCATAGTTTCTTTTCACCCCAAGTGCTGGGAGTGGGCTCTTGCTTTAATGTAAACAAATTCCTGTGAGAGTTTAGACCAGCTGAACTCTTGAGTCCTTTGCAATACTACAAGTCTAAAAAAAGAAAAATTTGACAGTCCACTGAATCTAAGGCCACAGAAGGCACTGATGAACACTTTCTAATTAAGCACCTGATTCCTTCTTTGAAGCCATGCCTGTTCCTCCTTCATCTTTCCCTTGCCAGAGTTAAAAAGTATTATCTTCTCCCTTTTGGCTCTCTGAGCAGCACCATGGCGGTTGGCAAGAACAAGCGCCTTACGAAAGGCGGCAAAAAGGGAGCCAAGAAGAAAGTGGTTGATCCATTTTCTAAGAAAGATTGGTATGATGTGAAAGCACCCGCTATGTTCAACATAAGAAATATTGGAAAGACGCTAGTCACCAGGACCCAAGGAACCAAAATTGCATCCTATGGCCTCAAGGGCCGAGTATTTGAAGTTAGTCTTGCTGATTTGCAGAATGATGAAGTTGCATTTAGGATATTCAAGCTCATTACTGAAGATGTTCAGGGCAAAAGCCTGCCTGACTAACTTCCATGGCATGGATCTTACCCGTGACAAAATGTGTTCCATGGTCAAAAAATGGCAGACAATGATTGAAGCTCATGTTGATGTCAAGACTACCGATGGTTACTTGCTTCGTCTGTTCTGTGTTGGTTTTACTAAAAAACGCAACAATCAGATACGGAAGACCTCTTATGCTCAGCACCAACAGGTCCGCCAAATCCGGAAGAAGATGATGGAAATCATGACCCGAGAGGTGCAGACAAATGACTTGAAAGAAGTGGTCAATAAATTGATTCCAGACAGCATTGGAAAGACATAGAAAAGGCTTGCCAATCTATTTATCCTCTCCATGATGTCTTCGTTAGAAAAGTAAAAATGCTGAAGAAGCCCAAGTTTGAATTGGGAAAACTCATGGAGCTTCATGGTGAAGGCAGTAGTTCTGGAAAAGCCGCTGGAGATGAGACAGGTGCTAAAGTTGAACGAGCTGATGGATATGAACCACCAGTCCAAGAATCTGTTTAAAGTTCAGACTTACAGTAGTGGCAAATAAAAAGTTATTTGTGAAAAAAAAAAAAAAAAGTATTATCTTCCAGGCTAATTGTAACCTTCAGATAATCATGATGCCTGCAGTTCTACCACTGGCCACTCTTTTAGGTGAAATCATTGTTTTCAGAAGGTCCCAAATATTAAAATGAACAAATATTACTAGGAAGGGGGTAGCCCATTCCACATTTATTCATTAATAAAGATGATTTAATTTACTAATAGAAATTTACAGAAAGATCCTGAGGAAAGGGACATGTTTTGATAAAAGCAAAAATTCTGGACAAGGCATTTCTTAAGGAGAGGAGGTCTGGGGGTGTGGTGAAGAATCATGAGAGTAGGGGGTACCCAGAAATTATAAAGAAAAGCATTGGGGTGATAAGTTGGGAAAGAGATACCAACAGAGGGGTGAGAGGTTGGCCTGGCAGATTTCCTCAGGCAGAAATGCCAGTTACCAACTGATTACCTTGGACAAATAACATTCATAAGCCTCAATTTCTTTTTATATAAAAAGTGGGGGTAAAAACAGTAGCCACCTCAAAAGGGCTGTTGTGAAGATTAAATAATAACTGGAGAACATTTAGCACCGTATGTGACTGGGTACGTGAGAGCTGTTATTATTAAACAATGTTTGCCCTTTCTAACATTAAAAATTCTAAGAAATAATCTGAGAGATTTAAATACTTTGATGGATGTTTGGATTAAGTCTTGAAATCCTCTGCTGGAAAGTGGGCCAGTTGATGGAAATCAGTGATTCCTCAGCATATGGATCAATACTTTGTGGCAATCAATGAAAACACAATTTGTTTCTTTCCTAGTTTTGCTTTTATATTACTCTCATTTGATTCGTTCTGGAACCATACCAAACTGTTAAGCACACACTGTTGAAATTTAATGTATAGTTTTATTTTTAATTCTAAGTACATTCTAAAATGTAGTGCAAATATGAGGAATGCTTAGCCCTAAACCTCACAGCTATCACCACATCATAAAGCTGACTCTTGGTCTACTTTCTTTGCTTCTTACACAGTTCTGGGCAAGGTGAGCCACACAATTCAGGGATTTTTTTGTTTCTCACAGTGATTTTATTTAACAGCAAATCGCTCATTTGCTTCTCTAGAGTTTCTTTTCCATGCTAGTTTTAAAAATATTATTATGAAATACAAATTAAATTATAATACTATCTCATAGTCAAAAAATCATTTTGTTATCTGCAAAGAACTTTTATGTTAATCATCTTAATTTTGTTCTCACCATAACCTTAATCTCATGAGAAATGCCCAAAATGTATCTATTGTATAGGAGACAAAGTCTTTCATGCCTTTATTAGAATGTCCTAATAAAGACTAATGGAAGAGAAAGGAGTGGAAAGCATACAGGATGGGCAGTGAGGCAACTGGGATTCAAGTCCCAGGTGTGATCCTAACTTGTCAAGGGACCTTAGACAACCCCAGACCACCCTCAATGTCTTCATTTACAAAACAGGAGCAATAATGCTAAGTCACTTCTGTTCTTCTACCTCTAGCCATGGGAGGCCTTAGGAGAATCAAACTTAGCATTAATAATAAAGTATATGGAAATGCACAGTGTGCACTGAAGTGCTAACTGCAGTGGTTATAGTTACTACTTTTAAAATGAATGTTGGCAATTTTGCTACAGGATTTCTCCTTCAAGAAACAGATGGTGGAGAAACCGCAGACCCTGGCCTTGGGAGAGTTCACTATGGTACTGAGAGGAGAAGGGAAAAGAAAAGGGAGGCTGGGGATGGGATACTGACCAACTTTTACTAAAGAGTAGAGGCAGGCCTGGCAGAGGTGCTTATCCACATTTTACAAACGAGAAAAGTATTAAGATAGGGAAATATTAATTTACTGTATCTGGGTCAATGTATTGGTATTGATATAACACCCTAGCTCTTTGTACTCTATATTGCACAGTCTCTCAGGAACCCCCAATTCTTTCAGTTATTCCTTAACCTTTAGACTTCAAAACTCATGGGAGATCACATAAATGGATAAATCATTTATCCATTAGCACTCCAAACTGCTAATGATGCAGTATCTGACAGACCTACAGGAATCAAACAAAGATCTGATTATATTCAATTGGCCCTAAATCGTTTTTGGCTCCCTCACCCTAGGGCAGATGCTTGGCAGAGAAGCAAACATCGTGATTAAGCGTGTAGATGCTGGAACCAGACTGCCTGGGCTTGACCCAGCTCCTCTACACACTTACTGGGTCACTGAGCAAGTTACTTAAGCTCTCTGGGCCTGAGTTTCCTCATCTGTAAAATGGGGTAAATAGTAAGACCTGTGGCTAGGTTTTCTGTGATGATTAACAAATATAAAAAACACAGCATATCAAAACTTATGGGACGCAGTGAAAACAGTGAGTGCTAAGAGGAAAAATCATAGATATAAACACTTTTATTAAAAAAGCAGAAAGAGCTCAAGTCAAAAACCTAACATTGTAACTTAAGGAACTAGAAAAAAACAAAACCAAAAACTAGCAGAAGGAAAGAAATCATAAAGATTAAGAACAGAGACAAAAGAGATAAAGAATAGAAAAATAGACAAAATTAATTAAACCAAAAGTTGGTTCTTCAAAAAGATCAACAAAACTGACAAACCTTTAGCTAGATGAACTAAGGCTAAAGAGAAAAGAGAAAAGACTCAAATTACTAAAATCAGAAATGAAAGTGAGGACATTACTATCAATTCTACAGAAATAAAAAGGATCATGAGAGAGTACTGTGAACAACTGTATGTCGACAAATTGGAGAACCTAGATGACATGGAAAAATTCCTAGAATACCTACCAAGATGAAATCATAAAGAAATGGAAAATGCAAAGAGGCTTGGTGAGAGTATGGAGAAATTAGAACCCTTGTGCATTATTGGTGGGGATGTAAAATAGTGCAGCTGCTGTAGAAAACAGTATGGCAGTTCCTCAAAAAATTAAAAATCGAATAACCACATGATCCAGCAATTCTACTTCTGGGTATATAACCGAAAGAATTGAAAGGAAGGTCTCTAAAAGATATTTGTAACTCATGTTCATAGCAGCATATTCATAATAGCTAAGCTGTGGAAGCAACCCAGTGTTCATCCACAGATGGATGGATAAGCAAAATGAGTGTATACATACAATGCAAAGTTATTCAGCTGTAAAAAGGAAGTAAATTCTGACATCTGTTATAACATGGATGAACCTTGAGGACATTATGCTAAGTGAATTAAGCCAGTCATTTCTGTATCTATGATTTTGAGTACTCTAGGTATCTAGACAGAAAATAGAATTGTGGTTGCCAGAGGCTGAGAAAATAGGGGACCGGGGAGTTATGTTTAACGTGTAGAGTTTTACTTTTGCAAGACAAAGAGTTCTAAAGATGGCAAATGGTGATGGCTTCACAAAAATATGAACGTACTTAATTCCACTGAACTGTACACTTAAAAATGGTTAAGTTGAGGCCGGGAACAGTGGTTCACACCTATCATCCCAGAACTTTGGGAGGCTGAGGCAGGCAGATCATGAGGTCAAGAGATTGAAACCATTCTGGCCAACATGGTGAAACCATCCTGGCCAACATGGTGAAACCCCGTCTCTACTAAAAATACAAAAATTAGCTGGGCGTGGTGGTGCATGCCTTTAGTCCCAGCTACTCAGGAGGCTGAGGCAGGAGAATTGCTTGAACCCTGGAGGTAGAGGTTGCAGTGAGCCAAGATCGCACCACTGCACTCCAGCCTGCTGACAGAGCAAGACTCTGTCTCAAAAAAAAAAAAAAAAAAAAAAAAAAAGAAGATTAAGATGAGGCTGGGAGCAGTGGCTCACGCCTATAATCCCAGCACTTTGGGAGGGCAAAGTGGTCAGATCACTTAAGGCCAGGAGTTAGAGACCAGCCTGGCCAACATGGCAAAACCCCATCTCTACTAAAAATACAAAAATCAGCCAGGCATGGTGGCACGTGATTGCAATTCCAGCTACTCAGGAGGCTGAAGCATGAGAACTGCTTGAACCCGGGAGGCAGAGGTTGCAGTGAGCTGAGATTGTGCCACTGTACTCCAGCCTGGGTGATAGAGTAAAACCGTCTCTAAAAAAAAAAAAAAAAAAAAAAAAATGTTAAGATGGTAAATTTTATGATATGTATATTTTACCATAATAAAGTGGAGAGAAAAGAAAATTAAAAAGCGTAAAATGCTGGAAAGAGTCCCTGGTACATATTAAGTACTCAATACATGCTAGCTGTTGAAGGAAACTAGCTGCTTTTCTGTTTTTCTCTTCAAGTGTACTTTCTGGATAGATGATAGCCAGGTTTCCTCTGTTTTATTTTGGGGTGGGGAATCCCTGCTCCTTAAATGAGAAAATATTGCCTGTTAGTTGGAATCATCCAGTTGAAGCATCCTCATCAGAAATTGTGAGAAGCAGGAAGAGGCTAGAGATTACTTTGAAACCATGGGTTCTGTCAAAGAGACTAGTCATAGAGAGTCCTTAATAGAATTTAACGGCCATTTGTCAGAACGTTTCATGTCATGTGGTTCCTCTGAGTCACTCTGGGTGATACTGGGTTCAGTCCTATGTAATACAGTGAAGAATGATAACCAAAAATGGGGCAGAACAGTATAGAAATAGAGCCCTATGCTGGGAATCTGAAGACCTGGCTTCTACAGCTGGCTCTGACCTTAATCATCCTAGTGACTCAGGCAAATACCATCTCTTATCTCTTACTCAGTTTAGTAGCTGGCAAAATGAAAAGGTTATACCAGAAGATCTCTTTAAAAAACCCTTCTCTTCAACAGTTTGCAATTCTATATGATTTATATAGTTGTTTTAAGAGCTTTGCATTGTCCCTTTGGACTTTTCAAACCAACAAAATATACTAGGGCTCATAGCTTAATAGCAATAATACTAGCTCCCATTAGCATAGAAAGCTTAATAGATGCTAGACACTGTGGTAGGTAGTATGTAGATATCACTTCATTTATTTCCTACATAATCTTATAAAGTAAGTGCTATTTTCTCCCATTTTACAGATGAGAAAACCAAGGATCCAAGAGGTTAAGTGACTTGTCCGAGAGTCCACCATTTGCAGGTGTCTGAGGCAGGGCTTCAATCCGAGTCTGTCTAACATAAAAACTTTTGCTTTCTTCCCACAGAGAAAGCTACTCTACCCACGCGTTATTACCTCACCTTTACCACTATTCACATTTATACTCGAAAATAGGCCAGGAAGCCTAAAAAGTCTTAAATGTTAAAATGCAGAACACATACATTATAAAACGTGGAAATCGGAAGGTACTAAACTGGTCCTTTCATTTAACTCCGTAACTTCACAGGAAATAAGAACAGAGTCTCAGCAAGATGAGATCCCACACTCAATGGTCAGTCAGAGCCAAGTCTGGCATCCCTATATTTCTGAGCTAAAGCCCAGGGGCTTTCTCCTCTCTGAAGCTCCAGATATCACCACATCACAATGTCAGGCAACTCAAAAAGAGTTGAGGGTCAAGAGCAACTTTAAGTACAGCTCTGATATCATGTCACATGACAAAGGCCAGGTGGGACCTTGGGTTATATGGTGGGATGAAGTAACAGCGATTTTCATACTATCTCTGTCATAGTGAGGGAGACATAAACAAGAAGACCACATCAACATTTACCTTTCGCTTTTTAATGGCTCCATTTGCCCCGGGGACAGCTTCACACAGGCGACTTATTGCTTCCCTAAAGAACAGAAACCATATCAATAAAGACAGCACACTACCTCACACAGTAAGTGTTTAAGAAATGTTAGAAATTATCACGGCCAAAAAGTAGACATATATAACACTGAGTCCGACACAAATGATATCCTCAGACTCCCGGGAGGAAATGCTGTACTTACTCCTTCTGCAGGAAGACCTAGCAGCACCCTAATACTGAACAATTGCCTGCCAACAAGTAGCTCTACTACTCTTCACTTTTTTTCACCTCTGTTTTTCCGTGGATTTTCAGATTTTGTTTTTTGTGTTGTTGATTTTTAGCCAAAAAGGAGGGGCAGGGCTTTGTTGTCTGGAAATACTTCGCAGTTTTACCTTTAGCAAAATCATCTCTGCAATGTTATGAATAAAAAGCTTCATTGTATCTCAGAACTAAAAACAATTAAATACAGAAAGAACCTGACACTAGAGGAAGTTTAAAAGGATCAGGAGAATGTTGAATTTCAAGGTGGTCTCAAATGGAGTTTTATTGACTAGGTTGCTGCTACAAGCCATTGAGCTTTCATGTAATTTCACAGAAGAAATCAATATCAAATTTCCTCCTTTGCTTACTTTTCTGCCCTTCCTATATATTGCACTTCCTGAGAGAAAGGCACAGCTAAAATAAGTAGTTGCTCCTTAATGGAAGTGGTGAAGGAATCGGCGCCCTCCTTTCCATAAATGCAGTTACAACTAAAAGCTTTTGTCTCTGGGACTCTGAGCATTCATAACTGCCCAAGCTTTCACTCTGTGTAACTTGAACCTTAGCCTTGTGGCTTTCAACACATATATTAAACTTTTCACAAGGCAAATGGAAATCTCTTCTGGATGCCCCAGAGATCATTGTTTAAATTAATAAAGTATATTCTCTCACACACACCAACACACATATGCATGCAACATTGTATGATTGTTTTTAGATATATTGTATTTCACGATAACATTTTCTATGGTTTAGATTCCCAAAGGAAGTGGGGAGAGGTCAGAGAGAGGAAGGCAGACCCATTTTTAAAACTAGAGCTATGATATGTTGTAGTGCAGAGCAATGTCCTTCTAGAAGAACTTTTGAAAGGTAAGTAGAATTCTCAAAGATTCTAGGCATTATTTTGCACTTATAATGCACGTTTTAGCTCAGATCATTTTTTCTATATAAATCAAACTCTCCTTCAAGGTATTATTTTGTCTGATTTTTGCATAATTATCTGCAATCAAAGGATAGAATGGATCTTTGGTTAGCATATATTCTCAGGATTTCATATTTATTGTTTCTCTAGGAGCCTATGCTTTGTTCTCGGGAGTCAAATAGAAGGATAATACAGAGGGCTGGGCTCTCTGGCTTGTCGATTGATTTACATTTTGAGTCATTTTAATGATTACTCAATAATTGGTAAGACTCATATAATTAATTCAAATTGGCACTGATACTGCCAAAATAGCTATTCCAGGCACCCCACTCTATTGACAGTATTTAATAAAGATAAGATAAGGCAGGTCCTTTACTTCATGAGAGTGATTTGGGTGTTTTGGTCTAAAAAGTTGACTATACATGATGTGAAATTGAAGTAAAAACAAAGGTGGATATTGATGCCGCCAAATATAATAACAATAATAAAAATATAATAACAATAATTTTATGCCAAATATAATAACTTCTTATTAGAAGTTGTTAGTTTTATATAGCATCTTGAATTTTCACACTGTTTTCCCACACATTTGTTTTCTTGATTCTCACACCAATTATCTGTATCTTCTAACAAGTAATGCAGTGAATTTAAGTTAAAGGGAATGCTTTATAGCATGAATGCCTCTCAAAGAGGTTTTGAAAGGCTAAAGCTTCCTGGCAGAGAGGACACTGGAAATTCCAGACAGAGGGAAGAACATAGGTGAAGACACCAAAACACAAAGTATCATGACATGAGGGGAATTACAAGTACTTTGATATTACTGGAGCATAACATATGGTAGAACAAGAGTGAATATGAACTAAGAGATAAGAGTCTGAAAACTGTTTCTGTGAAGTACCAGACGGTAAATACTTCAGACTTTGCTCTTTTGCAAGTACTCAACTCTGCCATTGTAGTGCAAAGAGCAGCCTTAGACAATATATAGACAAGTGAACGTGGCTGTGTTTCAATAAAATTTTATTTCTAGAAACCGGTGGTGACCAGATTTGGCCCATGGGCCATAGTTTGTTGACCCCTGGATCTGATAGTTCACACAAAAGGAGAGAGAAATCATTTGCTTTTTTAAGATGGGAAAATATTCACATTTGTTATAATTTTAAAATTGAAAATAAAAACAAGACACTTCACTCTTTTCCAGTGTTGGAAAAGATGGGAGGGAAATATTCTGCTTTAGGTTTATTTATTCATTGCCAGGGGCCTTAGTATTAATACAATATTTACAGAGTTAATTTGGTAAAAGTTGACAAATGGCAAAATTTATCAGAGCATGAGCTGGGCGTAGTGGCACACGCTCGTAGTCCCACCTACTTGGGAGAACTGGCTGAGCCCAGGAGTTCAACCTGCAGTACCACCGCACTCCAGCCTGGGTGACAGAGTGAGACCCTGTCTCTAAAAAAAATTTGTTTAAATAATTTATTACAACCTTTGACAAGGTGGGGAGAAACCTGTACAGAAATATGAAGAAGTCTATATTAATTAGTATGAAAAAGTAGAAGTTGCAACAGTACGTTCACATTGGTAGCAGCTATATAAAATTATCATCTGTAAATAGTAATATAGAAAGAGCTTATACACTCTGGCTTGGTTTTAGGTGGTTTTCTTTATGAGGGGTGCTATTTTGTTTCTGATTCTACATTGTTACAAGGTAAACAATGTTATGTTTTACTTTCATTGTGCACTTAATTGGATAAATAATCTTTTAAAATATTGAAAATAATGCAAAGTTAAGTTCCTTCAACAGGAGTTTTGCTAGTGTCAGGCAGAAGTGTTGAGATGTGAAGGCACATCAAAGATGTCCCAACAGGCCAGGCGCGGTGGCTCAAGCCTGTAATCCCAGCACTTTGGGAGGCCGAGGCGGGTGGATCACGAGGTCAAGAGATCGAGACCATCCTGGTCAACATGGTGAAACCCCGTCTCTACTAAAAATACAGAAAATTAGCTGGGCATGGTGGCGCGTGCCTGTAATCCCAGCTACTCAGGAGGCTGAGTCAGGAGAATTGCCTGAGCCCAGGAGGCGGAGGTTGCGGTGAGCCGAGATCACGCCATTGCACTCCAGCCTGGGTAACAAGAGCGAAACTCCATCTCAAAAAAAAAAAAAAAAAAAAAAAAAAAAAAAAAAAAAAAAAAAGATGTCCCAACGGACAGGTAACACCTATAGGGAAGTGGGAAAATGTTCATGCTACAGATACTAACAGATGTTCTTCTCTCTCTGCTCTCATTCCAGCTTAGCTTTTAACTCCTCCATCTTTGTTTGAAAAAGCAAACTAAATTCAGGTTTGCTTTTTCAGTTTTTTTAGTTGACTTACCTGTTTCTAGTCCCAAAAGTTTCATAAAGATAAAAAAAATCTTGAACAGGTTTAGCAAAGCCTTTTAGAATGGTACACCTTGCAGTCACAGGGAGCCTGAGTTTCAATGAAAGAACAGCCCCTATTTATGTTTATTTATTTAATTTTTTTGTTTTTGTAGAGATGGGGTCTCACTCTGTTGCCGAAGCTGGAGTGCAGTGGTACGATCATAGCTCACTGCAGCCTCAACCTCTGTAAGCTCAAGCAATCCTCTTACCTCAACCTCCCATGTAGCTAGGACCACTACAACCGGCAAGCACCACCAAAATTGGCTAATTTTTTCTTTTCCTTTTTTATTGTTTGCAGAGACAGTGTCTCCCTATGTTGCTGGGTTGGTCTTGAACTCCTGGGCTCAAGTGAGACTCCCACCTCAGCCTCCCAAAGTGCCAGGATTAGAGGCATGAGCCACAGCTCCAGGCCAGTCCCTATTCACTGAGCACTCTCTGTGGTCAGGGCCAGAGGTGAGCACCTTACGTACATCATTTCATGAGTAGGAACAAGAACATTCCAAGGTAGGGACTTTACTCTTATTTTACAAATGAGGAAACTAAAGGTCAAAGAATTTAAATAACTGTGTCCAAATAAGGCAATTGATGGGAGAGACAGAATGCATATCTAGTTCTAACTTCAAAACTCACAAGCACCAGGGAGGAACCATATTGCCAGATGGATAAAAAGGAGGGAGTCCTAGGCTCTAGAGACTAGGGGAAGTAGTATACTGACTGTCCTTTCCTTGCTCACTCCCCTAACATAGTGAAGGGCTGCTCTTTGGTCAGTAGTAAACAACAGCGTGGCTGACGTAAACTACCCAGGCAAAAGGACAAAGTGCTAGGTGCCAACTCTGGAAAAGGTTTACTCGGGATGCCTCTGCCCTTCCCTAGCCCTCTGCTGCCTATGCGCTGGCTGCCACCTCCTGGAAGAAATGAGCATCCAGAGCCAGGCTCTGCCCACGTGGGCAAACACACATGAGTGTGCACTCACACACTCACTCAACTGTACATTTGAGGCATGTGAGGTTTTACAGAGTCCCCAAAATCTGTTGATGTACCAAACTCTGCTCAAAAGAAAAAAAGGGGAAAACTTTGCTGAGGAAGTTGCTTTAAACAGTAATTATTACCCAGGCACAGTGGCTCACACCTGTAATCCCACCACTTTGGGAGGCCAAGGAAGAACCCTTGAGGCCAGGACTTTGAGACCAGATGGACAACATAGTGAGAACTTGCCTCTACAAAAGAATTTTGTTTTTAAATTGCCAGGCATAGCAGTGCACACCTGTAGCCATAGCTACCTAGGAGCCCGAGGCAGGAGGATGGCTTAAGTCTGGGAGTTCAAGGCTGCAGTGAGCTAGGATCACATCACTGTACTGCAGTCTGGGCAACAGAGCAAGACTCAGTAGTAGTTGCTAATTTTTTTTTTTAATTGGAGACTTTAAGATGAGCCATGCCTCTCTCCAATAA